AGTGGGGCGGTTTCCTTTAAAGGAAGTGACCTCATTTTTTCTTGCCTCCCATTGGCAAGCATGAGTCATGTGGCCATGCCTAGCTGCAAAGGAGCTTGGGACTTGTAGTCTTTCTGGGCCACCACATTCTCAACCAGAGGGGAGACATTTAGCAGGTTCAGCCCCTTGGGACCAAACAAGCTGTGTCTCTCTCGGCATCATTTTTCTCCTTGGGGAAGTGGGGATGGTGACCCTCTCCACCTCAAAGAAAGAAAAATATCCAGGATTTTTTTTTTTTTAAGATTTATTTATTTGAGAGGCAGAGTTAGAGAGAGAGAGAGAGGTCTTCCATTCGCTGGTTCACTCCCCAGTTGGCCTCAACGGCCAGAGCTGGGCAGATCTACAGCCAGGAGCCAGAAGTTCCATCCGGGTCTCCCATGCAGGTGCAGGGACCCAAGGACTTGGGCCATCTTCTACTGCTTCCCAGGCCACAGCAGAGAGCTGGATTGGAAGTGGGGCAGGACTTGAACCGGCACCCATAGGGGTTGCTGGCACGGCAGCTGACGGCTTTACCCGCTATGCCACAGCGCCGGCCCCTCAGCTGTCTTCTGGCATGCAAACTTTACTTTAAAATGGGGGGGGGGGCAGCACTGCGGCATCCCCAGCCCCAGAACAGAGCCTGGCGCACAGTAGCAGCTCCACAAAGTGCTGGGGGTGGGTGGCTGACGGATGGGGTCTGCAAGTGCTGTGTGGCCGATGGACCAAGAGCAGCGTGCAGGGGGAGGGCCGGCGACACAGCGCTGGGGCAGGGATGGTGGCCCTGGCTGGCCAGAGGGCCCCTCCCCCACCAGCCTGCTCCTTGGTGCCAGGTGCCACCTGCCCCGGTCAACAAAGATGACTTCGCCTTGGTCCAGCGGCCTGGCCCGGGCCTGTCCCAGGAGGCCGCCCGGCGCTACGGGGAACTCACCAAGCTGATTAGACAGCAGCACGAGGTGAGGGCCCCGCCCCCGCCCCAGCCCGCCCCGGCCCAGCCAGGGTCTTGGCCCTGCTCCCCTGCCCTCACACCCCTCTGCTGCCCTAGATGTGCCTGAATCACTCCAACCAGTTCACCCAGCTGGGCAACATCGTGGAAACCAGCAAGTAAGTGCCCTGGTGCCCCCCGCCCCCCAGCCGGCCCCCCGCCCCCCTCCCCCCCGCAGCGCCATCCTGAGCCAGGCCCCGGCCGACAGGTTTGAGAAGCTGGCAGAGGACTGTAAACGGAGCATGGAGACGCTGAAGCAGGCCTTCGCCCGGGGCCTCCCCACGCCTGTCGCCCGCTTCGAACAGAGGACTTTCAGCGTCATCAAGTGAGCCCCCGGCCCCCACGGTGGTGGGTGGGAGGCGGGCTGCAGGGTGTGCAAAGGCCCTGGGGCTGGCACGAGGTGCCCCTGGAAGGTGGCAAGAGACGGGCTGGCAGCGGTGTTTGTGGCGGTGGGTGTAGCAAGTGCCGAGCTGAGCCTGCGCCCTGGGGCCCAGGGACACGTTAGGATTTTTTGGGGGGTCCATCTTTCTTCTTGCTGCAGTCTCCTCACCCCCTGTGGGTAACAGACTCCTTGCCCTGGGTCCCTGTCACCTCGGCCCCGCCTGTCGCCCCAACTCTGCCCACCAGGCATGGTACCAGACTGCTGCCTCTACCCACACACCTTCCCTGACCCATGGTGGCCCCTTCCTGACCTCTGAGGCCACCTACCACAGCACCTCCCCCGGGAAGCCCTCCCTGACCACCCACCCTGCAGCGGCCCCCCAAGAGCAGGCTGTGTGCCTTGCCTCCGTGTGAACCCTCTGCAGCGTCTCTACCCTACACACGCGCGTAGCCGGGGTCGGGGTCGGGGGAGGGGTCGCGGCAGGTGCACAGTGGGCTGAGGCGCGCGCCTGTTCCCTCACCCGCCGGGAAGGGTCTTCCCGGATCTCAGCAGCAACGACTTGCTCCTGTTCATCCTCAAGGCCAGCAGCTTGCCCACGCCCCCAGGTGAGCGCGGCCGGGGTCACGGTCACGGACAGGGGTAGGGGAGAGGTCAAGCTCTGACCCTCTGTCTGCCCAGCAGGGTTGTCCCCCGGCGACCTGGATGTCTTTGTCCGCTTCGACTTCCCCTACCCCAACGTGGTACGTGGTGGTGGGGGCGGGGGGGGGACCTGGAGCCCTGATGGACTGGGGGAGGGCGCTCCGAGGGCAGCTCGCAGGCCCCTGACCTTTCCTGCCCCCCTCCCGCCCCAGGAGGAAGCCCAGAAAGACAAGACCAGCGTGGTGAAGAGCACCGACTCCCCCGGTAAGGCAAGGCGGCCGCCACCGCCCTCCCGACCCCCCAGCAGGAGGCGGGTGAGACCCGGCCTGAGCCCCTCCCACCCTCCCCACGCAGAGTTCAAGGAGCAGTTCAAACTCTGCATCAACCGCGGCCACCGCGGCTTCCGGAGAGCCGTGCAGACCAAGGGCGTCAAGTTCGAGGTGGTGCACAAGGGGTGAGCTGGGGCCGCGGCGGGGCGGGGCGGGGCGGTGGCTGGGCGGGGCTGGGGGGCTGGCGGCAGCGGGGCGGGGCTAAGGGCGGGGCCTGTGGGCTCTGTGGTGGGTGGGACGGGGCGAAGGGGCGGGGCCGTAGGCAGCGTGGGGCGGCGGCGGGGCGGGGCTAAGGGCGGGGCTTGTGGGCTCTGTGGTGGGTGGGACGGGGCGAAGGGTTGGGGCCGTGGGCCCTGAGCGGTGGGGCGGGGTGGGGTCAAGGGGCAGAGCAAGTGTGGGGCGGGGCCGATGGGTGGGGCTGGGGCGGGCCCTCAGCTCACGGCCCCCCTTCCCCTGCCCCGCCCCCGGCACCCACAGCGGGCTGTTCAAGACCGACCGGGTGCTGGGGACAGCACAGCTGAAACTGGACGCCCTGGAGACGGCGTGCGAGGTCCGGGACGTCCTTGAGGTGCGAGGGGTCCCATCTGCTGACCCAGCCCCCCACCCCCATCCCAGGCGTCCTCACTGCCCAACCGGAAGTTCCCCCAGCACCCTGCTGCCTTCTCAGCCATAGCCCCCCCACCCCGGGCTCCTATTTCCGGAAATGGCCGCTGCTTCTTCCCCGCCCCTGCCCCCCCACCTCCGACCCTCAGCCTCCCCTCATCCCCCTACCCCAGGTCCTGGATGGGCGCCGGCCCACGGGGGGGCGGCTGGAGGTGATGGTGCGGATCCGCGAGCCGCTGACAGCCCAGCAGCTGGAGACGACGACCGAGCGGTGGCTGGTCATTGACCCGGTGCCCGCAGTGAGCGCAGCTCCCCGCCCCTCCCCCGGGCGGGGCGGGGGGGGGGAGCTGTGGCTCGGGAGCCCCAGGGCTCACAGCACCTCCCCCACCCCCACCCCCTACAGCAGGTAGCCGGGCCCAAAAGCAAGGCTCCTCCTGTGCCTGCCCCAACGAGGGAGCCGGGGAACAGGTGTGTCCCCCCACCCCAGCCTCCAAGACCTGGCCTGGGCCCCCCCACCCTGGTCCTGGAGGGGCTTGGTTTTGAAGAACTTAGTCCAGACACCCAGGCTTTGCGCGCCCCTGCTTGCCGTACCCTGGCTGCCTGCTTCTCTGCCCAGCTGTCTCCTGTGGCCACCACCTCCTGGAGGCCCTCCCTGATCATTGCCTGGGTCATGGGCTCCCCAGGGGTCGCCCTCTCCTGCTCTGTCCCCCCCACCCCGACCCAGCATGCCTGTTGATTGCAGGGGGCTGGGCAGCCCCTCACTGCCCGCCCCCGCCCCCCCAGCAGGTCAGCCCGGCCTCTGCACAGCCTCAGCGTGCTGGCCTTCGACCAAGAGCGCCTGGAACGGAAGGTGGGTGGGCCCAGCGGGGCTGGGGGCGTGGCGGGCAGTGCATGCGGGCCTAGACGGGGTGCTCACAGTCCCCCATCCCCCAGATGCTGGCCCTCAGGCAGGCGCGGCGGCCGGTGCCCCCGGACGTGGCTCAGCAGTACCAGGACATCGTGCAGCGGAGCCAATGGCAGAGGGCGCAGCTGGAGCAGGGCGGCCCGGGCATCCGGCGGGGTAGGGGCCTGGGAGCTGGGGATCCGGGGGTCCCGGGGCTGAGGGGCGCGGGGCCTGGCCCGGGGAGGGGAGGCGGCGGGGCCCAGCCTGCTCCCGCCCGCAGAGTACGCGGCACAGCTGGAGCGGCAGCTGCAGTTCTACACCGAGGCCGCCCGGCGCCTGGGCAACGACGGCAGCAGGGTGAGCGTGGTGGGCCGGGGGCGTGGTCTGTGAGGCGTGGTTAGAGAGGAGGCGAGGCTGTGGGTGTGACTGGGCTGTGGCCCAGGGAGGAGGCGGGCCAGGGGCGTGGCCCGGGAGGAGGCGGGGTCAGGGGCATGTCCATGGGGCGTGGTCTGGGAGGAGGTGCATCTGTGGGCGTGGCCCTTGGCTTGACCCGGCAGCAGGCGGGGGTCGGTGGGCATGATCGGGGGTGTGGTCAGGGAGATGGTGAGGCTGTGGGTGTGACCAGGGTGTGGCCCAGGGAGGAGGCGGGCCGGGGCGTGGTCCGTGGGGGTGGGGCCGGTGGGCGTGACCAGGGCGGGGGCGGGGGCGGGGCTGGGGCCTGTACCTTGGCGCAGCCCGGGGAAGGAGGTGGGCCGGTGGGCGTGGTTCGTGGCCCTGACGCTCCGCCCCCCTGCCCCCAACCAGGAGGCAGCAAAGGAGGCGCTGTACAGGCGGAACCTGGTGGAGACCGAGGTGAGCCGCCGCGTGGGAGGCGGCCAGGGCTGGGCCGACTGGGGGTGGGGTGGGGGAGAGGCAGCGCTGGGTTTTGAGCCCTCCTGACCCCCCCAGCTTCATTCCCCCAGCTGCAGCGGCTCCGCAGGTGAGGGCCAGGCGCCCCCTCCTCCTCGTCGTCCCTACCCTGGTCAGCGGGGCCACCGAGCAGACAATCAGCGGACAATCGGTTCTGGACTCCTCTCACCCCACCCCTCCCCGCTCCGGGCCCCCAGCCCAGGCAGAGCCGCTGGGCCGGCGGGCGGCAGCGCCAGGCCTGGTGGGCGCGGCCCGGGAGAGTCCTGTTTGCACAGCCCAGGAGCCGGGAGGGCGCCTGGGACCAAAGCCCCAAGGGCCCCTGCGAGCACTTTACCCCTTGGCCTTCCTGGACCCCCCAAAGAAGCCGCTGAGCCTGGCTGAGCCCCCCCAACCCCCGCCTTGGCTGCTGGGGGGGTCGCCCTGGCCCAGCTCGGACCCCCAGGGTCCACAGGACACAATAAAGAGCCCAGGGCACACCCAGCTCGGCTCTGTGCTGTCTGTCTCAGGCCGGATCTTCCCCAGGCCTACCCAGCCCCCTGGAGGTGGGATGGGGGTGGGAGTGCGCTCAACAACCGGGCCCCCATTTCCCCAGGGGGACGCAGGGACAGGGAGAACCCCAGAAGGTGGCCTGGGGCGTGGTCAGTGCTCAGAAAACTTAGACTTTTATTGTTAAGGTCGGGTGTGGGGGCCTGTCTGGACCTGGGGGCGTGGTCTGCTTAAGCCACTCCCCCAGGTGCCCCCAGTACGGGGCCTGGGTCTGCAGTCCACAGCCAGCCTGCCCAGTGCTGGGCCCCTCCGGGCTCAGGAGCCCCCCACCCTTGGGGCTCGTGTAGCCTTGGGCGGCAGCCGGACCAGGACCGGCTCCGGATTGTCGGCCGTGTCCACCACGCGCAGGTGCGGGAGGCCCAGGAAGGCCTCTGCTGAGATACTGGTCAGGTGCAGCTTGTTGGCCCTGCACAGAGGGGCGGACGTGAGGGCAGCTGCCCGGAGGGGGGGGGAAGGAGGCCCCCCCCCGCCTCCGCCCGCTGCCCGCCCCCACCCCCGACCTGAGGAAGAGGGCGCGCAGGCTCGGTGTGGTCAGGAAGGCCTCCGGCCCTATGTGGCTGATGCGGTTGCCCTGCAGGTGCAACTCTTGCAAAGCCTCGGGCAGGTCAGGGGGCACAAAGGACAGCTCGTTGTGGCTCAGGTCCAACACCTGGCAGGTGCAACAGGGCGCAGGTGGCAGCGCCGAGCCCGGGCCGTCGGCCCCGCCGGCCCCTCCCCCTCTCACTTCCGGGCACCCTCCCCCTGGCCACGCCCAGGCCCCAGCACCCATCCTGGCTGCCCCGATTCCTGCGCTGGAAAAGAGAGCCCCCGGCGCGCAGAACGGGAAGAGGGGACAGCCTGGGGACAGCAGACGCGGCCAAAGCCGCCCGTCCCTGACCTGGAGGGCCTGCAGCTCGTGCCACGCGCCGGGCCCGATGTCACCCACGCGGAGCCGATTGTGTGCCAGGCTGAGCTCCCGCAGCTGGGCCAGGCCGGCCAGCTGCTCGGGCTCCAGGGCCCGCAGCTGGTTGCGCTGCAGCCGCAGGCTGTGCAGGCTGCCGGGCAGGCCGGACGGCAGCTGGGTCAGCTGGTTCCCGGCCAGGTCGAGGCTGCGCAGGGCCCGCAGCCGGCGGAAGGCCCGGCGGTGCACGCGGGCGCTGGCCAAGAGATTGTAGGCCAAGTTGAGCTCGGTCAGGCGTGGCGTGGCCGCCAGGTCGCGGGCGCCCAGCGCGGCCACGCGGTTGTGGGGTAGCACCAGGGCCCGCAGGCGGCGGGGCAGCGCCGGGGGCACGCGCGCCAGCCCGTTGCCGTACAGGTGCAGCGTGTGCAGGCGCCGCAGCGGCCGCAGGGCCCCAGCCGGCAGCCCAGAGGTCCCCAACTGGTTGTGCTGCAGCAACAGGTAACGCAGGCCCTCGGCCCCGCGGAGCCGCTCGGCGTGCACCTGCCGGATGTGGTTGCGCCCCAGGTGCAAGATGGCCAAGCTCCGGGGCAGGCCGGTGGGCACGGAAGCCAGCTGGTTATGCGACAAGTCCAGATACTCCAAGCTGTGCAGTTTGCTGCGGGAAGAGGGGCCGAGAGACAGAGCGCGGGCGCTCAGAGCAGGGAGGGGGTGGGGCGCGGGCGGAGCGATCCTGCAACATTTCAGCCGGAATTGAAAGCTTGGCGGATGCCGAGTGAGGGCCGGGTGGGAGATAGATCGGGGGTGGGTGGCAGAGCTCGGGGCTGGCCCTGGCGCCAGGGTGACTTGTAGGAGTGAG